GCTCTACAGTCACACATACACAGGCTTTTGCCACCATACTGCCAATGCACACATAAGCCCAGAATTGTCCTAGAATACCTTTTAATAGTTTCATGACTACTTTGCAGGACAAAAAGCAAGGACACACCAGTGTGTCAAAACCAAATATAGAGTCATCACAAAAACAAATGACAAGGAAACAATTCTATCGCCATTGATATGAAGGCGAAAAAGGCAAAACAAGGCAGCCAGATGTGCAGCCCATCCTGCAGGCACCATGGCGGGTTCTCCATGACGCAGCCAATGTGCAGCCCATCCTGCAGGCACCATGGCGGGTTCTCCATGACGCAGCCAATGTGCAGCCCATCCTGCAGGCACCATGGCGGGTTCTCCATGACGCAGCCAATGTGCAGCCCATCCTGCAGGCACCATGATGGGTTCTCCATGACGTAGCCAGATGTGCAGCCCATCCTGCAGGCACCATGGCAGGTTCTCCATGACGCAGCCAATGTGCAGCCCATCCTGCAGGCACCATGGCAGGTTCTCCATGACGCAGCCAATGTGCAGCCCATCCTGCAGGCACCATGGCAGGTTCTCCATGACGCAGCCAATGTGCAGCCCATCCTGCAGGCACCATGGCAGGTTCTCTATGACGCAGCCAATGTGCAGCCCATCCTGCAGGCACCAGGGCAGGCTCTCTGCTTACTGACCAAACTCCTTCATCTCAAATGTGTTAGTCATGGGGCCTACAGAACAGCTAACCTTGGCTGCACAAACACTGGCTGGCAGACACCTCATACACGCACTCAAGGGTCCTACCACGCCACCTGTACTGTCCCTCACATAACCCAAGGAACAGCTACAACACCACCCCACCCCTCCCAGCCCAACCTCACCCTGGCTACAGTATTCCCAGGAGAAGGCAGGCAGGACAGACCGCGTTGGAAGGGAGTGGAACAGAAACACAGACGGACAGGTGCCTTCAATGAAAATGGGGTCACGGCAGAAAAGCAGACGGCAGTCAGGAAACGGCTAGCTCTCGAGAAGCCTAGGATATGAGGACTCCCCTAGGTGCCCGACGCAGTCAAACAAATCCCGTAAGCCTACTCAGCTATGAGGCTGTTGAACCACATGGACTGCTGGCTTCTTTCCACACAAGCTCCTAACCCAGCTTGTACTGACAAAAAAGACCTTTGGAAGGCCACTGACACACAGGAAAACTGCACTCCAAGCACATGAGGTCTTTGGAAGCAAACATCCACTCTGCTGAAGTAGCACTAGTGACAAATGGTAGTAATCCAATGGCTCAAGGCCAGCAAATTCCACTGCAGACAGATTTATCTGCTTTACGCGACAGCAATTCTTGCATGTGCGGCAGTAAATAGGAATGTAGCAGCCTTACTGCAAAACGTAAGAGCAAGCGCTTCAGTGTCGGTCACTCTGCAGTTACCAGTGACAAGTGCCCTCAGCAAGCAGGCTCGCCGTGGATACCAGAGCCATCACAGCAGCCCCTACAGGCTGAAATCTGTAAAACACACAAGCAAGGGGCCAGCTCTGTGGCACACAAGTAAAACCGCTGCCTACGATCACGGCATTCTACATGGCCACTGGTTCAAGTCCCATTTGCCACACTTCCAATCCCGTTCCCTGCTAACGGCCGAAGAAAAGCATCAGAAGACAACGCAACTGCCCGGCCTCCTGCCACTCACATAGGCTCCCGACTCGGGCTTCCCAAGACCCAGCCATTGCAGCTATCTGAGAAGCAAGCCAGCATAGACGCTTCACTCACTCTTCCTCTCCCTGTGTAACTCGCATTTTTAAATAAAGAGCTTAAGGAAAAAAAGGCAAAGCAAAACAACTTCACTGTAAGTGATTAGAGAGTGGAGATGATACAATGTTTCCCCACTACCTGAATATATGTGAGCACAACAGAGTGAAGTGGCCAGCGTGCTTGCTACTAAATAACCATCACTCCCCCTGAAGCTTCCTCCCTGAGCCTGCTTATAGCACCTCATGTCCCCTAACACAAAACACCTTGTCCCCCAACATCTGCTCTAGGAAGGAATTTAGAATGCAGGCAGCCCTTTCATCACTCATTCTTGCACACAGTGGTCCACCAAGTGGGCTCAGCCCCACAAAGACCAGGCCCTGAATGTGGCATGCCAGCACCATGGACATGACCACACTGTACTACTCGGCTCGCTGGTTCGCTCTCTCTCTCTCACACACACTTCTGGCTCAGGATATGCTCAAATACTGTGGGGTCTCCGTGCAAAGGAAACCATCCTCCCTAAATATGTCATCAGCACAGTAAGTGGTTGCTCACAATGTGAGATTCCAATAAACACACATCTTATCCGGGAATGTCACTCGTCCACTCTCGGTGACTTGGGGACAGAGAGATAAGGTAACACTGTCACACAGGAGGAACCAGAACCAACTCCATCACCGAAGTAAGGGGCCACACCGCCACAAGCAGCTAATGACTGAGGTGGGACCAGCACTGGGGCAAAGCTAGCATTCCATAAGGGCACTGGTTCAAGTCCCAGCTGTTCTATTTCAGATCCAGCTCCTTTGCTAACACGCCTGGGAACGCAGTGGACGTTCACCCAAGTGATCAGGCCCCTGCCATCCACATGGCTCATGGGTTCAACATGGCTCAGCCCTGGCTGTTGTGCCCATTTGGGGATTGAATCTGCCAATGCAAAGCATCTCTCCTTTCTCTCTCCTTCCCTAACGGAAGTGAATCTGCACAATGGGCCAGGACAAGAACCAACCAGCTTGGACGTGAAATTCTGCTCTCAACAGTTCCAATGACAAAACCCCGTCTGAACTAAGCAGAACAGCCCCGTGGCTTTATCACGTCCCTCTTGGCAACAATTATCCAGAGATACACTGGCACTTCAACTCTGTTAAAATGTTCTAAGAAAGCTCAAAATGTTTCCAAGTTTCTTACCACCACACTTCAGGAAGGGGTATAAGAGGTTCAACAAATACTTTCCAATATTACAGAAACAGGCTACTGCCTATTTAAAAACCATAAACTGTAGCCTTAACAGATCAATTTTTTAAAAAGGACCTTTCTTGCTAACTTGTGGCTGTTATTCCCAATAGATCACAAGCAACAGGCATATTACCCTGCCTAGCAAGTGTTGAAGTGACCAGTATTTGCTGAGCAAATGAATGAATGAAATGGGTACTTGAGCTGCTAGAACCTTAGAACACAGGCAGGTGCAGGTCCCACCTACCAGGAGGCTCAGCCAGACTCCGCAGGCTCCAGCCCCGCGACTCTACCTTTCAAAAGAAACTAAGAGTTCCAACTGTCACCTTTGGTACCTGAAGCGTGGGGAAATCACCCAACTTTACCCCAATGCGTGGCTCCAGGTCAAAGTCCAGCAAACCGCGGCTCCTGGTTGCTAAAGATGCGCACAGCAATCCACTCGCAAGAACACAAGCTCTGGGCCCACGAGGATAAGCTTGAAATGACAATGTGGTTCACATATCATCACCACTCATTACCCTCATTACCTTCCAGCCTATTATGCATTGTGATCGGTTATTAAATAAAGGAAGTGATCTGTGTCTAAACATGCTCTCGTCATTTTGAAACCTCAATGAGTGTTAAACTTGTTCACGCTAATTTCAGGGGGAAATTAAGTACCAAATCTCTGGGGAGAAAAACATCTGCAGAAGTTACCCAACTCTCAGGTTTCTCTTTTCGGTTGAGAAGAACTAAAGAGTTAGCAAAGGTAAGCTCACAAGTGGAACAAAAAGTTAATAAGGTAGGAAGTGGGGGGGGGGGGTGGCGGGAGTAATTCTGATAGCAAACTAACAAATATGCCACAAACTTAACAAACTTGAAGCATCCTATATATACATATATATTTTGTATTGCAACCCGCATGGATAGCAGTAGATAGCAAAGTCACCCGACCAAACCGACCCGAGGTGCCAAAGGGCCGCACAAAGCCAGGGCCCAAGCAGCGACCACCGCTTTACTCGCCACCAATTTGCCAAACAGCCACTCTGACTTCCTTTTCCCACGTTTCTTTCACAAGCCCCAGGAGATGGTATAAACGCAGGCGTCAGTTCCCGGGGCTCCGACCGGAACTCCACTGCAGGTTGGACACCCCCCCTGGCTGCTCCCCACCCAGAGTCACCATCCAGTGGGCGACAGGGGACCCCCCCCAGAGCTGCCCGCCCTCAGCGCGTCCCAGGAGCAAGGTGCGCTCCGCCTTGGCCAGCGCGGTGGTCCGACCCTCTCTCCAGGCCCAGGCGGACAGGCCGGCAGCTCGGTGCGCACCAGCATAGCCCGCGCAGCTTCCCTACGGCGAACGGCTGCCCCTCGCCGCACCTCGGGGCTGGGACCCCGGCACACCGACCGGCCCCACAGCGTCCAGCGGGCTGAGGGGCGCGCCGAGGGCGTGGGGTCCCCACGTGGCCCGGGTGGTGCCGGGGGAGCCCCCCGGCCGCGCCCCGCTCGCTGCCCCACTGCACCCCGGGAGGCTGCGGGGCCGGGGTCCGAGCACCAGGAGGCTGCGGGGCCGGGGTCCGAGCACCAGGAGGCTGCAGGGCCGGGGGGCTGCGGGGCCGGGGTCCGAGCACCGGACATGCAGGGCGAGGGGCCAGGGTCCGAGTGCCGGAGCGCCGGGGGCTGGGGTCCGAGCGCCGAGAGATGCGGGGCCAGAGGCAGGGGTCCGAGCGCCGGGGGCTGCGGGGTCCGAGCGCCAGGAGGCTGCGGGTCCGGGGCGCCGGGGGCTGGGGTCCGAGCGCCGGGACATGCGGGGCCAGGGGCAGGGGTCCGAGCGCCGGGGACTGCGGGGCCGGGGTCCGAGCGCCGGGAAATGCGGGGCCGGGGGCTGCGGGGCCGGGGCCTAGGCCCGGGCGGCGGGTCCCGCGCCCTCCCCCACCCGCCACGCTCGCTCCGGGCCGCCTGCGCCCGCCCGCTGCCCACCGCCCGCGTCGCGCGCGCCCGCCAGGGCTCGGGCGCCTCCCGACCGGGGGCGCGGGCCGCCGGCTACCTGCGGGCTGCGGAGGGCCATGGCGGCCCGTTTGAATGGGACTCGGCGCGGCCCGGCCGCTCACGCTGCTTCCCCCGCCGCCGCCATCTTCTCGCCCGCACATCCACACTCGCATCGGCCGCCGCGCCTGCGCACTGGCGGCGCGCCGCGGGGCGCGGGCCGCCGGGGCGCTGCTGCGCGTGCGCGGCCGGCAGGTGGGCGTGCGCGGGCGCCCGGGGCCTGGCCGTCGGCCCCTGGACTCTGAGCCGCGCTCGTCCCCGGCGGGTGCGGGGTTGGCAGGGAGCGCTGCCAGGGCCTCGACCTTTTATCCCTCGAGGGAAAAGGGCGTGCAGGTGCAGAGAGGGGCCAGCGGGCGCGCCCCCGGCTTCCCACCTGCCTGTGGACACCGCCGGAGTGATGGTGGTCTGGCGGCAAGACCCGGACGCCCGAGGTCCTCCCGGGGTCTCCTCCCGGGGTCTCCTCCCGGGGTCTCCGCAGGCCCGAGCACCCCGAGGTACTCTCCGAGAGCCCCCTTAGGGCGAAGGCGTCGGGACAGCGGGGTGGGTGTCTCCAGGTTTATGGAAGGCGTTCACGTCATTCATTCATTTACCCTTCACTGACTCCGGCCTGGGTGGCTGCCCTGGAAATAACACTCTTCATTCCTGCCGAGCACTTCTTGCCCACCCCCTCACCTCAGCTACTGTGCCCAGGCCTGGGGGCCAAGGCCCACCCCCAATGCCAAGTCTGAGATTTGTGTTAAGAATGCAGTGAGCCCGAGGTCTGTCACAGGCTTCTGTGACCCTCAGCACACCTACCCCACCGTGGTGGCCGGACCCTGGGTTCAGCAGAGGAGAGTAACAAAATCCCTTCCTATCTTGTAGAAAACAGCCCCGGCTCTGTGGACACCTGATGCCTTGAAAAATACAAGTGCTACAAAGAAGACACATCGGATACAATGTATCTCGGTTGAACACTCCCCCACCCCGCTGTGTTACAAGTTAGTGCTACTGTTTGCTTTTAGGATTTATTGGTTTGTTTGAAAGGCAGTTACAGAGAGATCTTCTGTCCACTGGTTCACTCCCCAAATGACCACAGTACCCAGGTGCGTGAGCAGGGAACAGGGCGGGAAGCGGAGCAGCCCATCTGGCAGGGATGGCTTAACCCACTGCTGGCCCCTACTGCTTTTCTTTTTTTTTGGGGGGGGGGGTTAATCAGAGAACTCAGAATATGGATAACATATATGTGATTAGTGAATTACTACTGACTTTAATCATGTAATAATGATCTTCTTGTCACTGTTATGAGAATCCCTCACTGCAAGGATATACAAGAATTATGTGTGAATATCAATGTTTGCAAATTATTTTTAATGATTCAAGAAAAAACAAAATTGTATGCACAAAACATGGTGTGTAGACAGAGAAGCACACACTTTGCCAATGTTAACAGCTGCTGGAGTGGAGTGTCGGGGCAAAGTGGAGCTATTTTTCAACTTTATGTTTGAAACATTTCATAACAAAACTTGGGGAAAGGGCCCAGCATGAAAGTCTACTGATTAAATCCTTGCCTTGCATGTGCCAGGATCCCATACGGGCACTGATTCATGTCCCAGCTGTCCCATTTCCCATCCTGCTCTCTGCTTGTGGCCTTGCAAAGCAGTCGAGGACAGCCCAAAGCCTTGGGACCTGCAGAAGAGGTTCCTGGCTCCTGGCTTCAGATAGGCTTGGTTCCAGTCATTGCAGTCATTCGGGAAGTGAACCAGCAAACCGAAAATATTTGTCTCTCCTTCTCTCTTTCCAATAAAAATAAATAAACCTTTTATTAAAAAAAAAACTTGGGCAAGTAGACTATGGCATTACGCCTATGCTATAATTATCACTGCAGAAAAGCTAGATTTGCGTATGGATAGAGACTGGCAGGGCTGTCAGAGTCCACTGGTGCCCATGCAGTCTGCGATTTATTCTGGTAATTTTGCTTCTCAAAATATATTTACTTACAGCAGTGAGGAGAGGCACTTAGTCTGGATACTTCAGCCCCCATCAGATCCCTAACTTGGAGTTCCAGCTGCAGCTCCCGATTTTTGATTCCTGTTCATGCGAGCCCTGCAAACACTGTCAAGTCAAAGTCCTGGATTCAGATCCCAGTTCCTGGCTTCAGCCGTGGCCCAGCCTCATTGCTGTGGGCACTCGGGAGGTGAATCACCACAGTTTCTCTCTCTTCTCTCCCTCCCTCTCTGCCATTCTGATAATTTTTTCAGATTTATTTTTTATTGGAAAGGCAGGTCAAATCTATAGAAAGAAGGAGAGACAGAAAGATCTTCCACCTGCTAGTTCACTCCCCTAAGTGACCACAACAGCCAGAACTGAACTGATCCAAAGCCAGGAGCCAGGAGTTTTTTCCAGGTCTGCAGTGTGGGTCCCAAGGCTTTGAGCCATCTGCTGCTGCTTTCCCAGGCCACAAGCATGGAACTGAATGGGAAATGGAGCAGCTGGGACACAAACTGGTTCCTGAATGGGATCCTGATGCTTGCAAGATAAGGATTTAGCCATTGAGTCATTATGCCTGGCCCTCTGGCAATTTTTTAAAAGATAGATTTAGGGCCCAGCAAGGTGGCGCAAGTGGTTAAGGTCCTCGCCTTGAACACCTGGGGTCCCATATGGGCACCGGTTCTAATCCCGGCAGCCCCACTTCCCATCCAGCTCCCTGCCTGTGGCCAGGGAAAGCAGTCAAGGACGGCCCAAAGCTTTGGGACTCTGCACTCTGCGTGGGAGACCTGGAAGAGGCTCCTGGCTTCGGATCGGCATAGCATCGGCCGTTGGGGAGGCCGTTGGGGAGTGAATCATCGGACGGAAGATCTTCCTCTCTGTATATCCGCCTTTCCAATAAAAAAAATAGTAAAAATAAATCTTTAAAAAAAAAAGATAGATTTAATAATTATAATCAATAAAATCACCCCTAACCTTCTTTTTGTTTATTTTATTTGAGAGGCAGAGCTACAGAAAGAGGGAGAGTCAGAAAAATCTTCCAGCTGCTGTTTCATTTGCTAAATAGTCACAACAACCAAAGCTGGGCCAGACAGAAGCCAGGAGCTTCTTCCAGGTCTCCCACGTGGGTGCAGGACTCCCCCTGTGCACGCAGGGGCCCAGGAACTTGGGTTACCCCCCACTGCTTTCCCAGATGCAATGGCAGAAAGGTGGAAGTAGAGGAGCCATGACTAGACCAAAGACCATATGGATGGGATGCCGGCACTGTAGACCACAGTTTAATCTACTGCATCATAGCACCAGCCCTGCACAGGATCCTTAAAAGGAAAAGAGAGAAGAGGCGAGAGAAGCATAAGCCAAGACAGCGAGGAAACAGGGTAAAGCAAAGTTCGAAGATGCTGAGCTGCATGCTTGGAGACAGAAGCAGGAACCAGGAACCAAGGCATGCTGGCACCTGGGGAACCTGGAAAGAGCAGGAAGACAGATTCTCTCCCACAACCCTGGGGAACAGGCCCTGCCACGCCTGGAGTTCAGTCTGGAGAGATTTGGGCTGGTCAGAGTGGCAGGGTGGGGATGGGGTGGGGATTTCTCCAGCAGCACCTTGCTAACAGGAAATGAGGCCAGTTGCCAGCTGTGCACAGCCTGGAGGCCTCAAAAGCCACTCCACATCAGCCAGGGAACTTTTGTTATTGGCCAAGAGGAGCAGGAAATTTGCCCGAGGAGGTGAGCTCTGAACTAGGTCCCCAAGAGTGTTCGTCATGGGCTTGATCATTCTGCTCACCTGTAAAATGGAAGAATGCCACCCAAGGCCATGGGAAAAAGCTCGTGACAACAGCCCGGTATGTAGGCAGCCTAGCAGGACATCTAGCCCAGAGCAGGAGCTTTGTCCATCATGCAAATTGCCATCATGGTACTGAGGAGTTAAGGAAGGAAGGTGTGCTTGGCGCCAGAGGGACCGTGTTCATTGGCTGTGATGTAACTCAGGCTTTCCAGTGCGACCCTGGGTCTGGGGGCACACCTCCCCTCCCGCGCCCCCAGCTTCACAGGCTGATTGTTCCAGTGCTAGCAGGACTTTTCTCATGAGAAGGACAACGATGGGAGCACTGAGAGAAACTCCCTCCTACCCTCTATTTTTGTTTTTTTTAAGCGATGAATAATGGAATTTTCAACATTTGAAAGATCTGCATGACAGTAACAGGGAATCAGTGTTTTCCAAATGACTGACGCAAGATGTTAAAAAGTCCTGGTGAGTCAATGAGGACACACAGAGCTCACCACCAGACTTCCACATTCCCCTGTGGATTAGCACTTCCAGAAACACCTCTGCTTTGGGCGTAACGACAACAAAAATATCCATGTATCTTTTCCTTTAATTTTTATTTTTATTGGAAAATCAGATATGTGGAGAGGAGGAGAGACAGAGAGGACGATCTTCCATCCATTTATTTACTCCCCAAGTGGCCACAACAGCCAGAGCTGCCCCAATCCAAAGCCAGGAGCCCGTAGCCTCTTCTAGGTCTTCCACACCGGTGCAGGGTCCCAAGGCTTTGGGCCGTCCTCTACTGCTTTCCCAGGCCACAGGCAGGGAGCTGGATGGGAAGTGGCGCCACCAGGATAAGAACTGATGCCCATATGGGATCCAGGTGCATGCATGGTGAGGACTTTAGCCACTATGCTACCGTACCAGGCTCCATCTACACATATCTTAAAAGTACTCCTTCTAGGATTTTTTTTTTTAAAGGAAAAATGCTCCTTTCTTGAATGTACTGTCTGTGTAAGGGTCTCATCGCAAATGGAGGGCAGCACTGAAGGAGCACCCACCCAGCTGTTTCCAGATGTGTTCACATAGCAAGGAGATCTGTGGAAACACACACAAAGTCGTACCAGTCTTCTCCCAAAATGTTTTGTTGTAGAAAAGTTATTTCTCATTTTCCAGAAACTGATTTGCACAGTATAGGGTAAGTTTGTCAAATATGGTGTTCAGATATTTCCATCTTAACTTCCGGCATGATAAACACAATCCATCACAAAAACGGAACTTTCTGGAGTCGGCGATGATGGTGAGAACTCCAGCTCTGCCCTGTGCTCCTGCCCCATGCTCCTCCCTGCTAGCCTGGAACTTTCTGTCCCCCAG